ATATATATATATATATATATATATATATAGAAGGGGGAGGCAGAGGGAAAGAGAATAAACAGATTAAATAGATTAAATAGGTTTTGTGAATATCTGTAATAATTTATGAGTCTGCCTTGTGGTTAACATTATTTCTCAGCAATGCCAAGACTGCTTTGATCGAGTTTTGTTTAAAAGCTAGGATCTGAAATGTTTACTGTGAAAATAGTTAAATCATAGGAAGATTGGTATATCAGAAAGAATGAAAGCGTTCCTCAAATTCCGAGAAAACGAAGAATAATTTTTATGATAGTGCTGGAGTTTGGGTATCAGAAGTCTTTGTCGAATGAATAGAATAATTAAAGAGGTCGTGACGCTGATAATAAGATGCAGGAGATGGAAGCTGGAGAAGGTTCTGCCTCGGGGCTAAATGTATCAAAAGTTGGAGTTCGCACCCGTATAAAAGCCAGAATTTCGACTGTTAATGTTCAAGAATGCAGGCGTTAATAGCAGAATGTTTAATGTCGAGAATTAGCGGTTTTGTTAGGTGGGGAACATTACGCATTCATTGAACGAACGAATAGCTTTACTGTGGGCTGGAATTTATTAAATATTTCTCTTAAAACAGTATTTAAGGAACATGGATTGATCAATTCCACCGACTGTTATCTTCCAACGTTCTTGCATAGGTCATGATTTTGCTGTAGAAATGTATTGACAATAGCTGTACTGTAGAAATTCATTGGAAATGAAGAAAAAGGCGTGTATCAGCGGCTAGAGATTAAAGCGAATTCCACTGAAAGGAAAGATCTATAACCGGCCCTTTAACATAAAACTCATTTTTTTTATTTGCGTAGTGTATTGGGAAATGGCCGGAAAACAAAAAAACAAAACAAAAAAAATCACCCAGCTGTACACACACACTCATGTGTGTGCGTGTGTGTGCCTGTGCGTGTGTGTGTGTGTGTGTGTGTGTGGGTCTGTATGTGTGCTGACAAGTGTTGACTTCTCTATGCTTACGATTATATTTGTGCGAGCGCGTCAAAGTTTGGAGACTTGTTGGTTCGCCATTGTTGACGATCTGCCATCTCTGTAAACAAAATGGAGTCGCAGTTCGATTGCGATTTTACCTTCGTTTTTGTTTCGAAATCGCCTGGAGCAGCCAGACGGAACAAGTTAAATAAGTTACCTTCGACAACATAGATGCACTCACAACTCTTTTAACGAGTAGACTGACCGCATTTGAGAAAACTATACACTATATTTCTCTCTCGCTTTTTTGTATTTTTTTTTACATTGGTTTCAAGTAATTCTTCTTTCTCCAAGGCAATATGTTACTACTCAAATTTAATTCAGCAATGCCATCACAAAATCAGGTACGTATACATACATACATACATATATATATATATATATATATATATATTTGGAGGGACATTGTATTTGTTGTTTTCTCTATTTACGCGCGCGTGTGTGTATATTTGTATGTGTATCTGGATATTATCTTGTGCTCATACGTATGTGTTTGTCTCGCATTGTTTAGCTGATTGTATATATGTGTGTGCGGGTATGTTCATGTGTGTGTACATATTGCTGCGCTGGGTTTATATAAGTGTGTGTAAATGTATTTCTATATGTTAATGTCTAGATGTCTGTGTGCATATTTGTGTCTGTTGATGTATGAGTGCATGTGTACTTGTCGCTGTTACCCCTATGTTGTATGCGTGATACACGCCTAGGTGATCATGCATCTTTCGATACATGACTGACGAGGCAGATTTTTTCCCGCAGTAGGTGGCCATTTCTTTCTGCGGTAGACCAGTTGCCATCCAAGGCTATAGAACACGCTCTATTTAACCATAGTTGGGTGGGGGGAGGAGAAGAAGAGGATTCATACCTTTCCCAAGGGTATTAGCACGTAAGTGAATGTAATGGATTTGACTAGAATTCGAACTCGGCTCACCGATTCCTCAATCCGAGCCGCTATCCATTACTCCTTCATGCCTCCTGATCGTACTCAACATTACAAGGCTCAAGAGCAACTCAAGGTAGTGTGTGATATGGACGTAAGAGGAGGAAGTAGATAGGATTAGGACGATATAGAGGATAGACAGCGATTAATCTTTGATCTTAAGTGGTTAAGTCTTTATTTGTATGGGAATGCATCTACGCGGGAGACTTCCCCCCACAAAGTGGCGGTTCTTAGGAAGCAGCTTTCGGGGTGGGACGCTCCGCTTACCAATGAAATATGTAAGGAATGAGGTTGATTCAACTCTGTGGCTGTAGCAAGGAGGGCCTTGGTTGTAAAGATCTAATTTTTTGGTACTAGACAATAGAATTCGTCTGAACATTTTCCATGGAAATAGCGATAGAGTAACTGCAAGGCTTATGACTTTGCATCCGTAGAAAAGGATCGGTAGGATGGAAAATATGTCACCCCGACCCGTCAAACCCGGCGTCAACGCCCTTGAACTGGAAAGTGAGGATTGGCTAGACCCCCGGCTAAGATATGCCACCAATATTCCATTTTGGTTTGATCTGACACCTGTAAGGACTAAGCATGGCAGAATGAATCAGATGCGCGCCTTTTGTTATATATATATATATATGAAGAAATATAGTTTCAAGGTGTGCTATATTTATGGGATAGAGTGCTCAATATTAGAGATGGAGTGTATGTAGATAGAAATATCAAAGTGAACATTGAAGTCAACACTCAGAGGTGACAGGCTGTTTCAGGCTAGGCGGCCTGACGATTGCCTCCAGCATGAAACAGCCTGTCGTCTCTGAGTGCTGACTTCTATGTTCACTTATATATATATATATATATATATATATATATATATATATATATATATAAGAAATATAGTCTTAAGGTGTGCTATATTTATGCGATAGTGCTCAATATCAGAGATAGAGCGTGTGTAAATATAAAGTGAACATTGAAGTCAACACTTAGAGGCGACAGTCTGTTTCATGCTAAACGCAATCGTAGACTGACGATTGCATCTAGCATGAAATAGACTGTCGCCTCTAAGTTTTGACTTCAATGTTCATTATATATATATATATATATATATATATATATATATATATATATATATATTACTATTTACACTATTTACATTGTTCGAACTGCTGATACCCATCATTAATACCACATTTAATACCACATTCACGACATTTCGGCGGTTGTACGTTCCCGCTATCTTCAGGTTTAATTGTTGGGATTTCAAATCGAACCCTTTATTTATCCAAAAGCATGATACGCGAAATTAGAACACTTAGAACCAGTAGACGAAATTTCAGTCTCAGTTAATTAGTCTTGATATGTCTCCAAGTTTTTATTTGTTTCTCTGTCCCAAAGGACACAATGGCCCAAATGGTTAAAAGCTTTGGTTGATTGATCCAAACAGTACGTTGACCCAAATAGTTGTGAATTCAATCCCCGGCCTCGACGGAGAGGACAAAAATTGCCAAAATAAAGATGAGGCTCCCAGTCGGAAAAATGTAAATAATTACATCTCAGAAATACAGACTGATTATTTCCTGCTGTTTACGTTTGTTTATATGGGCGCCTGTTTGAACAATTGGAACGTTGTCTTTCTGCTTCCTGGATTCGAATACCACCATGGCCAATTCGCTTACGGCCACATCACGTTGAAATACTCGTCACCGTACGATCACCGAAGTTAAACAGCGATGAACCTGGTCAATACCTAAATGGGTGACCGCCTGAGAATACCAGGTTCTGTGAGCTTGGATCTGCGTGTGATGTAATGGATAATGGCTCGGAATTGTTAATCGGAGAGCCGAGTTCCAATTCCTGTTTTCAATTCCTGTAAATACCCTTGGGAAAGATATGATTCCACCTATTATAGCCCCAGCTATGGGTTAATTAGCAGAACTTGTACCGCTAAAATCATTATTATCTTCAAAAATAAACATAGAATCGCGTATAAAATATCTAGATTTCGGCATTAAATAACCCATAGAGGTGTTGATATGTCGTTATCAAAAACAATTCATCGTCAGTTCATTAGACGTATGATGTTATCGTCTTTGTGGCGCTGTTGGAAATTGCCTGAAAACCATACCATGTGTTGACCCGTGCCTTGTGAGGGAAATTAGTTTGACGGAACTGTTTAGAAGCCATCGATGGTTGTGCTAACATGAAGTCGCAAGTCATCGTCTGTTTCAGCATACCGACCCGGTTCAAATTGTTTATCACACCAGATTGTGCGCTCGCCCCACTCATTTCCACTCAGCATATTGGCAGGTGGGAACAGTGGGCGTTGAACAAACACAAATTTGCCTGAGCAAATGTCTAGAACAAGGATTGACTATCCGCCTTCGGAAAAACGAGTACACGGTGATTATATCTTACATGTTATTATGTTCATTATTATGTGCATTTGTGGCTTATTCTTTATGAGGGTATATGCAAATGATGTTTGTTACATCTATAGTGTATGTGGTCGTATGCATATCTGTACGTGTTTGTGCTTTTGTGTGCGTGTGTTCGTGCGTGTCGTGTGAGTGTGAGTGTGAATGATACTTTATATATATCGTTATTCAGGAACCATGTTTCAGGTCAAAGATTTGTTATCACCTACCATATTCACTTCGAGGCAGCAAATCTCTGGCTTCTTGGTCGTCATTCTGAAGCTTTGGTCATTTCCGCTACACGATACAAGTACCCACAAATACAATTTCTAAAATGAAAAAGATAAACTCAATAGCAGAAAGAAAGAGGGCGAAGAAGAAAGAAAGAAAGAAAAATAGTTAGCTAGATAGATAGATAAATAGAAACAAAGAAAGAAAGAACGAAGGAAAAGAAGAAGAAAGTAAAAAGATAATGGAAAGAAAGAAAAAAGAGAAAGGAAAAAAGGAGGAGAAAGAAAGAAAGAAAAGAGAAGGGAAAGAGAACGAAGATGGCGCAGGACTGCGAAGGCAACATATGAGATGGAATGAAAGAAAGAAAGAAAGAAAGAAAGAAAGAAAGAAAGAAAGAAAGAAAGCTAGCTAGCTAGAAAGAGAGAGAGAGAGAGAGAGAGAGAGAGAGAGAGAGAGAGAGGGATCAATAGAAAGAAAGGACGAAAGAAAAGAAGATGGAAGTAAAGAGATAATGGAAAGAAAGAAAGAAAGAAAAAAAGAGAAAGGAAAAAAGGAGGAGAAAGAAAGAAAAGAGAACGAAGATGGCGTGGGACTGCGAAGTCAACACATGAGATGGAGAGAAAAGAAAGAAAGAAAGAAAGAAAGAAAGAAAGAAAGAAAGCTAGCTAGCTAGCTAGAGAGAGAGAGAGAGAGAGAGAGAGAGAGAGAGGGGGGGGATCAATAGAAAGAAAAAAGAACGAAAAGAAGATGAAAGTAAAAAGATGATAGAAAGAAAGAAAGAAAAGAAGGAAAGAAAGAAAGAAAGAAAGAAAGAAAAAAGCGAAAGGAAAAAAGGAGGAGAAAGAAAGAAAAGTGAAGGGGAAGAGAACGAAGATGGCGTGGGACTGCGAAGGCAACACATGAGAAGGAAAGAAAGATGGAAAGAAAGAAAGAAAGAAAGCTAGCTAGAAAGAGAGAGAGAGAGAGGGATCAATAGAAAGAAAGAAAGAAAGAAGAAAGTCAAAAGATAACTGAAAGAAAGAAAGTGAGAAAGAAAAAGGAGAAGAAAGAAAGAAAAGAGAACGAAAAGACAACGAAGAAAGGAAGACTGCAAAAGCAAGATACGAGAAAGATAGAAAGATAGCTACACAGAGAGGATGAATTGAAAAAAAAAAGAGAAGAAAGAAAGGAAGAAGAAAAGAAAGAAAGAAAGAACGAAAAAAGAAGATGAAAGTAAAATGATAATAGACATATGGAGAGAAAGAGAATAAGAAAAAAGAGAGTAAAGAAAGAAAAAAGAGAACGGAAAGCGAATGAAGAAGTGTGACTACAAACGCAACACATGAGAAAGAAAGATAAAAAGAAAGAAAGAAAGTAGCTAGCTAGCTAGATAGATAGATGGATAGAAAGAAAAATAGCACGAAAGAAAAGGAGAATAAAGTAAGAAAATAATGAAAATAAAGAAATAAAGAGAGAGAGAGACTGAAAAGATGAAGAAAGAAAAGAGAACGGAAAGAGAAAGCATGAGAAAGACAGAGAGAGGCAGTAACAGTGAGAGAAGCCTCAAAAGAAAATGTTAAAATGAAATATATACTCGAGAGGAAGAGGATTGAAATAAAAGTGTCATTTTCTTCGATAAATTCAGCGAATAAATAATTCCGTTACTTTCATTGAAACTTTACATAGAACAATGGCGAACTGGTTGGATGCTTTGAAATTCAAACTGATGAAGATGCGGCTTACTTCAACACATTTATAAGGAAGAAACGTTTCAGTCAGAATCAAATATCTTTCAGTCATCTGTTGGTCAATTATGATCAGAGGTCGAAATATCTTGGCGACTTCAATATAAACAAGACTCACTCAGTATATATTCCAAATGGTTCTGCCTTTCATGTCTCATCTGTAATTTTGAATTGAAGCTGAAGACCCTTGTTGATCTGAGAGATATCTAAAGAGGCTTCGAGCTGCAAGACTCAATTAATATATTCTTATATTAACTACTCGTACGTATTGTCAGCAAATTTAGAATCCAAGAACACAACTCTCTCTCTGTCTCTCTGTCTTTCTCTCTCTCTCTCTCGCATCCGCCAACGTCCACACATACATGCACATTTTTCTAATGCATATATATTGCTACACATGAACATGCATGTGTGTTCGTATACACTAATTACAATGTCTCTCTGTTGTATCTTTCTTTGTATATGTTAGGTGTTATAGTGTGGTGGTTAGAATATATGTTCGTTTTACACTCAGAATGGAAAGTGCCCATATGGAGTTTTCATTATACTAGTATACTCGACTCTCCCGTCGAATTCGACGTATGAGGGTCAAGCAGATCAGTTCCTAGGAAACTGACAGCTCGACAACAGCACATGAGATTTGATTATAGTGGTGAAGAACCATCCACAAGTTTTTAGGGCTAAATACAGAGACCTGGTGCACTACGTACCACAGGGTCCCCAAACGACCTCCCGAAGGTTTTGAATTCAGAGTTGTCCTTCTCCTAGACCAGTTGCCATCCAATGCTATAGAACCCAGCCTGTCCTGCTATTTACCCATAGCTGGAGAGAGAAGAGGATTCACACCTTTCCCAACGGTATTAACGTAAGTCAATGTAATAGATTCGACTGGAATTCGAACCCAGCTCTCCGATTCCTCAATCCGCGCCTCCTCAATATATATATATATATATATATATATATATATATATATATGATGGACTCTCCCGTCGGTTTCGACGTATGAGGTTCCAACAACTCTGCTTATTTAACCTTGTTCGTGAGTCGCAAGTGACACTTCAATCCCGCCAGTGATTTGCAAAGAAGTTCACATATTGTACAAGAGTGTGGATTACTGGAGTATATGGCTGGAACAGCAGCAGATATTTTATTCCTTTCCCTAGTTTGACGAAGCTTGACAATGTTTAATGCTGCCTTGTTCTTGATGCCATTGTAGCATGTAGTCTTCCATTCATTACAATCAATTACGATGTTCTCAAAGGTAGTGTGATTTATATTCGCAGCTAAGAGGTTACTCTTCAGCTTGTCCCTGTACCTAAGCAAAGACCGAAACCACGTTTCGATGACCATTGTCAAGTTGACCATATATGAGCATTTTTGGAATTCTGTTGTCTTGCATACGTAACACATGACCTGTCCAGCGTAATTGTGATTTCATGAGAAAGGACTCAATACCATCAATATCACACATGGTGAAAAGGTCTGCATTTACCATTCTGTCGCTTAGGTTTACCCCACAGATTTCCCGAAGACAGTCTTTGTGAAAAATATCTATTTGCTGAATTTGCTTTCTGTATACTGTCCAGGACTCTGAGCCATACAAAAGGGTTGTGAGAACTACAGTCTTGTACACCTGTATTTTGGTTCCAAGCCTAATATCACGATCTTTCCAAAGTCGATGACGAAGTTTTCCGAAGGCACTAGAGGCTTTTGCTACTCTATTGATTATCTGATCATCCAATGTTCCACTTGAATTTACTTTGCTGCCAAGATAGTTAAAGTTCTTTACATACTTCAGATTGTGTCTGTCGACTTGGATTGGTATTTTAGGAAATGCATATATATATATATATATATATATATATATATATATATATATATATATATATATATATATATATCATCCTCGAAAAAATACACTTATATACATTTATATATGTATATATATATATATATATATATATATATATATATATATATATATACATACTATTATTTCATAGTAAACGTTTCCTCTCTAGTATTTCAAACTAAACGTTTTCCTCTTATATCCGTTTCTTGTAAAAATTATATTTAATAAATAAATTATAAGTATTTTAAAATGGGGCGTTACTTTTCAATCACCCTGCATATACGCGTTACGTTTCATTCACCCAGTATATATGCATAAAAATAGACAAAAGGAAAAACTATACTTAGCCAAGGCGTTTCGTCTGTGAGAGCCTTCATCATAGCAATATAAGATTTCTAATACTGTACGTGTTTATATACAGTTGTGAATATATCACTGGTTTATCAAGGCTTATACATTTGAGAACGGGTATGAATGTTCGCCAGATGTTTGAAAGGTCAGTCAAATTTTTTAATCTACATTTTACATTTTTTAAATCCTGCACTGCCTCGATAAAGTCCCTCAGAGGACGAAACGCGTTGGCTAAGTATAGTTTTTTCTTTTGTCTGTTTTTATTAATTTTGTCTTCTGTACAGATACACTCTATCTGGGAATATATATATATATATAAAGTAATATAGTCTATTAAAACTAAACAATGAAAATATTTTAAAATTTTAAAGTTGTAATTTTGAATTTGTAATTAAAATTGTAGTTAAATTGAATGAATTCTAACCTAAATTTATTTTAAATAATACTACACGCATTAAAAGAATCCAAAAATAACACCTATAGTAAAATAAAATTAATATGAAATACCATAACATGTAAGCTTTTGAATGACCCATGTCCTCAGTACTTACATGTGAAATATTATAATAATAGGTTTATATATAAAAGAAAAAGTTTACTGAATCAGTGAAATTAAGTAACCATTTCTGCTGTCATAGTCATATAAAAAAAAAAAAAAAATGTAACCTCATATACATACTTAAACTTAATGTTAAAATAATCCTACATAATATAATGGATTCTAATACATTTAACTGTTCTTAAAAAGAATATAAAAAAATAAAATTAAAAAGGAAAATATTTCAAATCGTAGTTAAATAAAAAAGTATTGTAAAAAAAATCTTTAATTTTAAAAGATGACGTTGAAAATTTTTTACCGTTAACAATTTTTTTTTTTTTTTTTTTTAATTCAGACGACATCCATTCAACCGACGTCAGGTTTCAGTGTAAAATACATCCTCACCCCTTACCAAAATGTAGCTAATAACTGATACAATGATACTGTCATAAGGAAAATCTAGACACCCCGTGTTCAATTTGAGTAGAATATTCTGTAACCATGGAAACGTGATTTTAGCTGTGTATTTAAAACCCGGTAAATTTTAAAAGTTACTCCAAAATTCGCTTGAAGATGAAATGGAACTAATGCTTTTAATTTATTTGCAAAAATAAAATTAGGGTTTTTAGCTTCTATTTTTGAAACATGGTTGGAACTGTGTAGCGAAAATAACCATTTTAAATCAATTAATTTATAATATATATATATATATATATATATATATATATATATATATATATATATATATATAATAAAATCCAAAATTACCTCATATAGGTAATTCCCCATCCCCACCATGTAATATAATTTAGGAATTTGTTGTCTAATACTATTTATTGGCTCTGTTATAATAAATACATAGAGCTCTTTTTGTAGATCAGTTTTAATACTTTATATTTCTAGGATCCACATGGATTATATACCAACGGATTTATTACCTGTACTACAGGTACCCCCCAAATAAAGCGATACCTGAGGTTTAAAATTCACTTTAAAAATTAAAAAATATTTCTTGAGGCTTTTATTTTAGTTTAATTACAATTTAATAGATTAAGTTGTTTCCAATTGGCAAAATCCTTTGCTCTATTTCTGACGGAATTTAAATTGATTAGAATGATTTTTGAAGTCGCTAATATCGGCCATATTAACAAATCTGTCAACAAAACATAATTCTCTTTATTAAAAAATTATTTCAAAATAAAATATACTTCTCTGAAACTTTATATATATATATATATATATATATATATATATATATATATATATATATTTGTTCTCCATGGATACCTGTTTGCGCGTGTGTACGTGTATGTATGTGTGTGGTCCGACCAGTGTATCTGGCTATCATGTGTGCATGTTGTGTGTCCATGTGTGTGGGGTTATGTTCTGTTTAGTATTGATACAAATTTGTCTATGAAGTTTTTTTTTCTTGAATTTGTAATAAAGAGTAGTTATCTGTTTGGTATATTGGCATAATGTTAAATTTGCCTTGATTGCATTCGTAGATGTGTTGCGATACGAAGAGTTTTCTGTTGTCGGGCAATTTAATGTTGTTTTTGTGAAGGGTAACTCTGTTGTTAAGTGATTGGCTGATCTCTACATATGATTTCTTTGTGCATTTGAGTGCATAGATCACATTTTTTGGCGTAGCAGTTTAAATTTGTATTTATTGTGAATGTCGCTGTGGGTTTTCAAAAGTGTAGGAGTTCCCTTCTATAATGACATCACAAACCCCACATCTTTTTTTTTTTTGTTTGCAATTTGTGACCTCCTGTATATTGTGTTGGTTAAATTTGGATGAGGTCAATATATGTTTCTGGTTTTTAGATTGGCGTTTGCTTTTAATTATTTTGATTGTTTTTAGTATATTTTTCATTTTGCCATTTTTGTTAAGTA